CATTCATATCATACCATGCTAATATATTATTCTGTACCAACATATTTTGTTTTTCAACAGGAAATCTGATGTATCAGATGTAACTGAAGTTGTATCTGAAAGTTGCATGCTTTTTATTCAGCTGGATTTAAATGTTCCCAGTGAAGAGCTTTGAAAGAGCTGGCTGCATCTTTCTCTTGGAATACTTTAGCTTATTTTCCATAAATCTTGGAAAACTTAGCCTGAAAAAAACCCTCACAACCAAACCCCAGAAAGAGGTTTGAAAGAAAATAAATGCACACTATTGATAATTATGAGCCTGTTTACCTGACATTGATCTGAGGGACAGTAGTGAAATTGTTGATGCCGTTCAAATTAATAGAGTTAAAAGGGTTACCTCAATTATTGCCAAGCAACAACAGTATATCCTAATAGGATTTTTTAATCTCTGAGGCATTTGATTTGGTACAGAAATTAAGTAGAAAGAATGGTGCAAAATCATTCAATGGATTAATAAGTATGGAATAAAACTGGAACAAAAAATACAGTTGTGTACTGAGTCTGTCTGTGATGGATTTAACTTTTCCTTTGGCAGCACCCCATAGTGCTTTGTACTGGTAGCTAGAAAAGTGTTGATAATACACCAGTGTTTCAGCTATTGCTGAGCAGTGCCTACACAGCATCAAGGCTGTCTTTCCACTTTCCCCCACCAAAGGCCAATAGGCTGGGTGGGATGGGTGGGAGGTTGGAGGGGACAGGCTCACCAAGACTGACCAAATGGATATTCAATACCCTATGTTGTCATGCTCAGCAATAAAAGCTATGAAAAAGGAGTAAGGGGGCATTCATGATTAAGGCTTTTGTCTTCTGAAGCAGCACTGTGCATATCGAAGCCCTGCTTCCCAGGATATGGCTGAACATCATTTCCTGATGGGAAGCAGAAAATAAATCTTTATTTTTTTGCTTCCAGAAGCAGCATTTGCTTTCTTTCATTGGACTACCTATATCTCAGCCCACTAGGTTTTCATTTTATTTTCTCCCTCTGTCCTGCTGAGGAGGGGATATGAGAGAGTGGCTTGGTGAACACCTGTCACCAGCCAAGTTCAACCCAACACAAATTGTAAATGGGAATTATTAGGAAGCAGACGTTGTCTGAGGGAAGCTGCAGTAGGATCCATTCTTTACATGCATTGTCACAATTTGGAAAATAGAGAACTGTACCAAGAAAAATTGTACCGAGAAAAATACAGGGGATGAGGAAAAAAATGAAGAAAATAGGTCACTAAAATGTAGACAACTTGATTGCTTGGAACTGAGGCACTGTAGATTATTTCCCAGTATTGTCCAATACATAGTCACAGGGCAACTAAAAAAAAAATCAGTTATACATAGAGGACTGGAAATGTATTCTTGGGAGCAGAGAGTGTGAAAAGGACTTAGAGGTCATGGGAGTTAATCTGATGAAAATGAGCTGCTAAAGATAACACTGTGGCAAAAAGGTTAATGAGACCACTCCATGAATTCACAAGAGGATATGAGAAGTTATAGAGAAATTAAATTACTGTATTGTTGAGTTTTCCACTGACTCCTCTTTATTAGGATCATTTCTGATATCAAGTGAAGAGTGTTATAAAATGGGAGAAGATTTAGAGAAGGGGTATGAGAATGATTAATCATCTGGAAAACATGTTGTACTGAAGGACTATATTAGTTCCATGTATTTAGTTTATCAAAAAGATTAAGGAGTCAATGTCTGGTAAGCAAGCTGCAATAGTGCATTCTTAAATCTAACCAACAAAATATAACTTGAATATTCATCTGGACTTGAAGTTAGACATGTTAAGACTGGAAGTGTGAACATGTCTTTCAGAGAAGAATTGTTTGGTTTTAGCGCAGGTTACCAAGGGATTCTTCTTCAATGGTAAATTTAAAATCAGGATTGGGGTTTGTTTTCTAAAAGCTGTCTTCTTGTTGAGATACATCTTCTCATCTGAATCAAGAATTCACACAGGAATAAAGTCTGTGAGAAACTTAACAGTTGACCACAAAAGTATCTTTTGGCCTCATCATATAAAAATCTGACTCTGAAATGGGTGATTCCTTTAAAAGACTATAATTGATTAGTGCCTCTTGGTCGAAGACTGTAATCAGAATTGGTAGGACAAATTATTGATCTTTTTAAGTGCAAAAAGAATTTCTTTCCATGCTTGATTTCCTGACACTGTTCTATTTTTTCTGTATTTTTATTATCTTCATTTTTAATTACGTAGAATCACTGTTGAATGCTAATGAATCAGCACCCTTAAAAACATGAATATGGCATTCATTTACAACTTTCTGATACGTTGGTCCAAGAACATCATGAGAAGTACAGATGGTATTATTTGCTCCACAGCTCATCTCCTTGACATGTTCTGGATCTGTGCTCTGTCTCACTGATGAGTGTCTTTGTGGGAAGGTTATGTTCTGCCAGCATATTTGCAAATGCCCCCTTTGCCTTCACACTTAACTGAAAATTGATTAGTATGGTGAACTACTGTGCTCACTTCAGCTCACTAGTCCTAATCACAGAATGTCAGGCAAGGTTATGCCCTTTGCCACTATTATGGTTCCACAGACTTGTGGAATAGGGCCGGGGTGGGGGAATATGGGAGGATTTTTTTTTATATATATATTTTTCCATAAGAAAAGAAAATCAAAAAGTTCAAAAGACTGGGAAAAAAATGTTTTCACATTGTGTTCAATCTGCACTTCTGTCTTTGTTCTCCAAGATGTCTTCAGTACAACAGTATATAAATGGAAAGACAAGGAGATAAAACAGATCAGGACAAAACATTGAGCTAGGTAGAGAAAAAAAAAAAAAGAAAAGGTGTGATATGAATCAGATTGCAGTCAGCCAAGAAAAAAATCTTTTTTTTCCTACCAAAACCATGTTTCTGAATCTCAGTCTTCCATATTGTGCTGTCATCTCCCATAAGACAAGTATATTAGCAAAAAGGCTCTTTACCTATTCCATTTTTCAATTTGCAGAGTAGAACTTATGACCACTTGGTGGTGAGTGAAAAAATAAAGCTTCCAAAGCAATGGCATACGCCAGAAATCACACATAGTGACAGGGCACTGGCCGGAAAAGGAACAGTTGCAGTTATTGCTTGATGTTGCACAAGGAGAATCTCTGTCAATTCATTGAAGACATTAGAAGTCCTGTCATATACAATGCACATACATGCACAGTTGTCCATTACATGCTTGGAACTCAACCCCCCGAACTTCTATATGATTCTACTATAGAAAAAAGTGTCTATGTTTAGAAACATCTTATCCTTCAATAGTTGTATTTTTTAGGGAAATAATGAACCCTGTTTAGTGCTTTTAAGGAACATCTTAAGAAGATCCTCGCCCTGAAATGTCACTCTGCTATTTTGTTCTGCAAATTCTGTCTTTTTAAAACTTAAGAAGAAGACATGAGGAGGGAAGAACCATCCCCTCATTAATTTGTTTATGGAAGAACTCTAGTTTAGTAACGTGTTTTGCCTATTCTACTTTCTAATTTACCAGTCAAAATCCTACCACAGTTTCTGTCTTGAACTATAAGGCTGTCTGACTTTCATGAAACTTTTGCCTACTTCCCACATTTATTTTCAAAATGAGAATGTAGTTATAGGCCCCGGTTATTTAATAGATGCCTAAAAATGTAAGCAGCGCCTCTCATGCCCTGAGCCCAGGAAGCCTTAACCTCCACAGTCTGATTGCATTTGCATCCATTTTTTCCAATATTGCATGTTCTTACAAATTAAACTCAGTTTGAATTGAATTTCTTATTTCACTAGTGAGAATTTTTATTTCGTCCCTCCCTCCTTTTTTCTCTTTCCTGTTCTCTCTTCCCTGACCTTCGCCCTCCCTCTCTCTCCCTCCTTCACCTTCTCCTCCCTTTCCCCTCTCCTCCCATCTCTATCTCTCATCTCAATTTTTAGGAAACATAGGAGACTCTACATATGTTAGTGCTAACCCTTTTGATTGTGAATACAGAGCATAGGTTTTTTGAAGAGGCAACAGATAAACCTTAGGATGGAGGCTGCACATTCCTGATTCCCATGGTGCCACTGGAAATGACAACTGTCTTTTTAAAATTGAATAGACCTGGATGGGTGTAGAGGCGTAGGACATCAGGGATTAACTCAAAAGGTAGGGTCAGAGAAAAGAAAAGATAAGGTTTATAAAACATACAGATTAAAAAGAAAAGAATAAGATTAAGGGGAGAGACACTCTTATAAATCAGTACAGTCAGGAGTGAGACTACTGCATTCTCCTCACCAAAAAGCTAAAACTCCCTTTATTTAGAAATGTTCAGAAGTAATAAACAGTGCCTTGAATTCCTCTAGCCTCCTTTCTTTTAACCTTATCCTTCTAGTAAACCCTATGTTATGTCCACCAACGAGATCTTTGGCTCTTTCAAAAGCAAGTGGCTCAATTAGAAAAGAAGCAGCATTTGCTACACAGCCCAATGACTACCTCAGCCTCCTTTAATCCAATCTAAACTGAAAGCATTCATTTATGTCTGCTCTGTCACAATGGAACATATTGATTATCAATACAGGGACCACATAGTCAAGTCAGCTATAGGGTTCACTGTGTACAATTGTGACATGGTTTTGAAAAGATCCCTGCTTTGCGACATTTATGGACAGGCTCTCAATAGCTATTGTTTCCAGGGTTTTGTTACCTTTACTGGACCCCCTTTACTTTTCTGGCCCAAAGGGCAGTGGGACTGAGGTTTTCTTAATACCTAGGAACTGTCTTCTGTCATTTCATTAGCATACTGGGGTTGTAATCCATGAGAAAGCTGCTAATAACACTGTGGTAACGGAAGTACGTATAAACAGACAAAGGAAACAAAAAATATTGCTAATTCTTAATTAATCAAAAAATGTTTATACGTATTACTTTTAAATTCTATTCTGAAGATCCATTTCTAACTTGAACTGTCAAACCCAGGGTATTTGGGAGGCTTTTAGGTTTAGATTGCAAAATTTGTTATGTATGTTCAGCATTCCTGCCATAGCAGTTACTCCATTGAGCCATTTAATCGTATTTCTCTAACTCAAAATGACTTTTCCCTCCCTGTAGCCAAGAGGAAGTCTTGTCATTGTGGAAAGATCCAAAGAACCAAAATCTACCAATGATTGCTTCAACTGCTTTTCTGCAAGGTGTGTAATTTCCTCTGCATTTTCTTAATGGTCTGCCCATAGTTACATAAGTGCCTTATAGAAAATTAGAATCAAGGACATGAATGTTTTATTGGTGACCTTCAGAAACATGGTCATTTGTTTTGTCATGGGTTCTTTAACTGATATCTAGTTTCAAAGACTGTTCTATATGCTGTACTTAACAAATCTTCTTAATCAGCACTATCACTGATTTAACAAAACAAGCATAAATTGCACTGAGTCCCTTTAAGGGTAAGGCTGTAGTCTAAAGTGAGACCTGTTCCAATTTTGAAAAAAAAAAAATAAAATATACAAACAAAAAAAAAACAAGGACGTGAACCTGATTGTCTTTTTCCAAACTTCCCAAATTTTACTCCTGGACAAAATACTTTACTAGCGAAACAAACTTAAGGGAAAAAGAAAAAAAAAAAAAGCATTTCCAAAATATGAATATGAAGCAATTATTTGTATTTTAGTCTTTTCCTTTTGCCATATTTGGTGGCTCCTGGAGCACTTCTGGGTATTGTAGAATTAAGCAATTATTGACAGAGATAATTTTAGGCAAGGAAGAAGGGTTAATATTTGAGATAGTTTGAAGCACAGTAATGTGATTTTATACCTTTATGTTAGTAATTTGATGACGTAGTAGTAGCTGTGTGAAGCAATATGAATGCTTTCACACTTCTCTGTTGCTTCATTTTATCTTGGTTTAAGGATTTGGCCTCATGCTTCTGTTTTTACTGAATGAAAATCTTCATTTCTACCTGAGTTTCTGTGGCTCAGACAAGAACAACAGACACTTGCATGGGTCTGCTTTCAATCTGTCCCTAACTTAGTAAGAGTTTGTGTCACCTGGCATCTGGAGGGATTCCATTTCTAATTCAGATGCCTTATTCTAGATTTCTAAAAATGCTCTAGATGTCTAAGTTGATGGTCATGGCCACCTATGCTGTGATAAGTGCTTAGTTCACTGATCAGTTCAACGTGTCAGTCTTTGAAGCACCTGCTGATCAAGAGTGCGTTCCAAATGACTGGGTTCTCGTGTCTAGTGAAGAAATGGATGAGGAAGTATTTGGGAACCTTTGCAAAAGAGATAATTTAGAGATATCTCAATGCAAGATGGATTCTTCTTATGTAACTTCAATTGTCTGCATTTTGGCACCCGTTTAAGTCATTTAGCTAGACTTCTGGAATCAATGGGATAATAAATAGCTCTACAGTGTGACAAACATAGGTGTCTAAGAAAGCTGGGACAAGTAAGATGGATCCCATACGTGATTGCAAAATTTTCTTACTTTATCTTACCTGTTACTGTAGCCCTAAAAAGTCCTCAAGAGCTAAAAGGTTTCCATGTGAATTTAGAAATAAAATTCTAATTAGAAAATTTAGAATTAAAAAGATTGGGGTGTTTTTCATTCTCTGAAAGTTGATGATTTGTTGTTTATTGCAGGATTCAGAGGCTGTTTAGAACAAAGCAAAGTAATTGATTTTATACACATACCCCTTAGTTCCAGAGTCCTATTCCTTAATTATAAAATGGATGCTCCAAAAGAAAAACCACTAACACCAAAAATGAGTGGAAAATTACTTCAGACAAAAGTATGGCTGATAGGTGAGGGAAGTTTTAAAAAGTTGTGTTGGATACCTGAAGAAATTGCCTTTTGCAAGCACAAAAGTTATTTTCTTCATCTAAAAACCAATTCTGGCTAAGAGGGAGGTGAAGTCTGTGATAAAAAATAATGGAAAAAATATAGAGCCTGATAGCAATGAATAAAATCAGTATTAGATAATGGAGAGAACTGATAAAGAAAACTAAAGGAATCAGTTGAAAATCTATGGGTAATAGGGCAAAGATAACAAGAAGTTCTTTAAGCAGGAACAAAAATGCTTAGAGTATTCTAGAACTATTGATGGCAAAATTGTTAATCCTGGTAAAGAAAATGCAGTATTAAGTAAATATGTCTGTTTTCTAAAAGAAGAATGAAACATTTTATTTTCTCTTGCTTCTGAGGAAGAGTGCTGAACAGCAACACTAAATATTTTTAAATCTACAGAATTAGATAATTCACTGTCAAGCATATGACTTGCCTGAATTAAACACTTTTTTTTTTGGTCATGAATCTAAATATTCTGAGGAACTTCTAGAATCTTGAAGAAAAGTAGTCATGGCCCAACATTAACAAACAGCAAATTCATGGGCCTTGTGAACAATTTTCTAGTTAACCCAAACTTTACTTAGGAAAAAAATCTTATATGAGTTAACGAAGATATAATTGTAACTGATGCCACTAATACTGCACTATGGAAAAGATGTTGAGGTTTTTTTTTTATAAATGATCCTGTGTCTTGATGAGATCATATGATATTTTCATGAAGTAACTGTCCTCATGGAACATACCTACATGTTTTCAGAGACATTGCGTGCAACTGGCAGATGTGATATGGTATCCACTGTCACAGTGTCAGCTAGCAGCCAGGTGTGATGCCTGAGGTGTCTGAAATTGCATAGAACATCTATGTCTAGACAGCTGGATTGTCCCCTGGTGCCTACATTGAGTGGGTATTCATCTGCCTCACTAAAGGCATCTGAAAATTAAGATGCCTGAGTTGGAACTCTATAACTTTTAAAGTCAACAGAGAAAACAGGCACCTTTCCATGTGCTTCAGCTGACCTAGCTGAAATGCCTTTCTCAGGATAAGGTGAAACATCACTGTAAGGTGCTGAATTTCCATCTGTCAACTGTGGGGGGAGGTAAATCTGAAATTAGATTATATCAACCCAATGCAGTACAAAAAAGAATATTGACAATCTGGAAAGAGTTTGGAAAAGATCTGTAAAAGCATTTCAGTTTTTGGAAAAGGTGCTTTGTGGTGTGTAACTAAATAAATACAATCAGTTTTGTTTGTCTAGAAAGGTTAAGAGCTTGCAACCTATGATTACATGTGAAGCAGAAGTATTTGATAGTAGCAGGCTCTTTAATCTTAAAAAAAAAAAAACAACCCCCCTCCAACAAGAAAACTCCCCCCCCCCCACCATAACATTCAACAGCTAAAAGCTTAAGCTAGCACAAAGTAAGTGCAGAAATTAAAGTGCATATTATTCACAATGGAAGAAGCTGTGTGACCGTCGCAGCTAGTGACTGTAAAAGCTTATTGCATGTGCTACCGTGCAAAGTGAAGAGATGAGCTTGGTTAAATTCCTGGTGAGGTTTTTTTGGCCCCAGGATGCACCAAACAACAAACTGAAGACTCAAGATTTTGAAAGCTATGAATTTCAAAACCTGTTTTCATAGGGTAGAGAAGAAGCATTGTACATTTATCAGTGTTGTTTCAAGTTTCCAAAGAGGCCTGGGAGAAATGACTAATGAAGGCAAAAAGGAAGTTGAAAATTGGAGGAAATGATGAAGAGGGAAAATGAAAAATAATTACATAGAATTTTCATTCCAACTGCCATCTATTTAGTTAAGACAATTTTAATTCGGTTTTGGATCTGAAATTTATGTTTTATTTCCAATTTATTTTTTAAAGTTTTGTGAATGTATTTGTATTAATATATATTTTCATTTACCTGCCATTTTCTCTTTGATGAAAAGGGAGGGCAATTTAAATTAACCAAAAAAATTATTTCTCTGGAAATTAACTGAAAGCCACATTTTCCTTTTCCTTCATGACATTCACACAGAAAAGAAATTACATGGTACAATGACTTTTTTCCTAAACTTAATGGACTTTGAAAAACTTCTTAACACTCCTAAATAAATAGAAACGGATGTCCTAGTATTTAACGTTTTAATGATTCTTACGATACCTGTGTGCTTTTACCTTATTTCCAGTTGTCCTGGGTTCAGTGCTTAGAAAAATATTTACCATAGGTATCTACAAAGAATCAAGCTGTTTCTATACATCTTTATACAGCAGCAGCTGCTGAAACGATTTAATAAATTAGACCACTTTATAAAAGCATCTTAAGAGGAGACTCTTCTGTTTAGCTAGCTGGGAGTGCAGGTGGCCTTAACCCACTTGCTATTATGTCTTGCACTTCGATACATATATTTTGCTTGCTGTTTGCAGCATTTTTTAATAATGTGCCTTTTTTTTTTTTTTTTTTTTTTCAGTGCGCAGGTTTGTGGAGCAAGCAGCTGTTCATTTGTTTTGTCAATAATAGAAAGAAGACTGGAAGAGCTGATGACAGGTAATTTGGGCTGATGTTCAAGTTCTTATAATAGAACTGTGTAGAAAGATATCACTTTATCTTGCAGTGTCTGTATATGTGTGACAAGAGTTTCAGAAAAGAAGAAATTCGCACTTCACAGAGTAAATAATAAAACATGAGAAAGTAGACAGTAGTGTTAAGAATGACGTATAGAAAAACTACACACAGGAAGCCATTTCTGTTGCAGAACAAGATGTTTTGCTGGTCCTATGCTGCTGGAATTTTTTATAAGGGTTCATGACTGTCATACGCTGGCACCTCTTCTATCAGTTTTTAATACACATCTGGAGCATGCTCAGAGCATTTGTATTCCTCTATTGGAAAATGAGTAATGTTACCTAACTGTAAGGTTTCAGGAATTCCAGGCAAATTTAGCACACTTGCATTTTGTCCAGTTGGAGCATCATTTCCATTTGTCATTCACACTCTGGAGATTTCTCTTCTGATATATTTCCTGGCAGTTCTTTGAAAGCTCCTGAGTGTTTCCAGTAAATCATACCCATACGTTCATGGCTGTCCTCTGTTCCAGACCTATTTTCATACAGGAATTTATATTTCCATCATTCCTCAAGGGAAGCTGTTCCTTCATGGCTTCCTGAAAATGGCAGTTACAGTAATTACAGTTGTCCTCTACCCATCCCTGTCCTCTGCTGCTTTTCTCTGTCACTGCCTGTCCTATGCAGAGTTCAGGGAGTTCCCTGTTACTTCTGTTACAGCAGTATTCGGCTCCCCGCTGCCACTTTTTAATTTGTTCTGTCAGCTTTCCTACCACTGCTGGCTTCAAAAGTTTATTTGCTGTAGGCAACAGAGAGTTTATTTGCTGTAGGCAACAGAGAGTCCACATATGGAGTGCTTGTCCTGGCTGCTGCCAATGCCTTCTGTTAATGTATGTCTCCAGTTGTTCAGTTGCTTCTTAGCTTGCTCATGAAGCTGTGAAAAAGCTCTTTTTCATAGATATCCCATGTATTTGCATTGCAGATGGAGTGTCGGTCATCACTCAGTGGTTTTGCTTAGCATCACAAAAAATTTAAACAGAAAATATGCTGTGAAGAGTTCAAGTGATAGTACAATCTTCAGAAGCCATATGCCAAGAACTGGCAAAAGCTATTTTTTTTAGCCAGATATAGAGACTATGTAGCATACTCCTTACCATTACTTAATAGGAGGTAATTACTAAGTAGTTGGATACACAGAAATATATTCTGTAGCTAGTCATGGCACTTGAAAGCTTGCCTTTTTAAGCAAACCTTGTATGTGTCGGTACTTGTGAATTACTTATTTGTTCTGCTCTTCTCTGTTGCTCCCTCTTTCCAATTTAAGTTTGGCCTCATTGTGTTACACGGTGTGACTGAAAGGTCATTTTGTAACCTGGTGCATCCCCTGGTTGTCACTAGACTCCTTCTGGTACTGTGTCTCCATGTAGCAATTGGATTAAGAAAGGATCATACAGCTTAATGATCTGGAATAGGGATGTGATTCTTGGAATGCAAAACAAAGGGGAAAAAACTCAATATGAGTTAATGAAAAACTGAGGACATAAAATAGATACAAATAAAAAGTGAAAGGTAGGGTAGTATGTAAATGGCCAATAGACAAGTCAATAATTAAGAATAATAAAACCCACCTACCTCAGAAGCACAAGGCCTATTTTTTTTTTTCATTGAAGTTCCTCATACTGAACATTCTAAATTAATAAAAAAAGTTCTTGGGTGTTTTTGTCCTTGGTAATCATCAACATGCCAATTGCTACCATAGCAAGAAGAATTTGTCAATATTCAGGCAAATATTGAAGTTCTTACTTCTAAGCATAAAGGAATATTAAAGCTATCTAGGTACATTTATTTTTTGATGCACTGCTGTTGATTTGATGCTGTGTTTTTATTTAATCTTTAGCAAATTGCCCTTTCAATTTTAAACTCACACAAAGCAACCTCAAAAATTGAAGAACTCTGTATTTTAGTCCCTGTAAATTGGACTGTACAATTAATAATACATACAGTGTGTTATTTCTGAGGAACAGAGAGTCAGTTATATGTGTTTTGTAAGCTGTATTAGGATTTAGCCACCTACCTTCCATTCACATTAATGGGACTCAAGGAGATAAATTGCCTTCGACAATGTAAGTTTTCACCCTTTGGTTTCAAGCTAGGCCTTCAATTACAACCTAGAGAACCAAACACACCCTGCAGTTATGAGTATGCCTGGTCATTCAGCATAAAGAGGAAAATATCAAAATAAGGTTATTTGGCAGGAACTGGGGACAAAAATGTTATTTTATAAATGCAGACAGGACAGATGGAACTAAAAGTCATGCAGCTGAGAGAAGGATCAAAGAAGAACAGCTATTTCCTTGATGCAGGGAAGAGAAAGCAACAACAAAGCGTGCAGTACAGCATGTGCTCCTGACATGGCCAGGTCGGCCAGCAGCTTAGAGAAGCATCTGAGCAGGGTACAAGGGACTAGAGTCAGGAAGAGGGAAATGCATGCATATCTTGACAAGATAGAATGAAAAAATGTCATTTTAAAGTTCCCTCCCTGTAAAGTTGCCAACCCTTAGTCTTTCTTTACTATTAAGAAATATATTAAATTATTTTAGTATTAAGGTGCTTGTACCAGTGTATGTGGTGATGATTATTTTCTAAAGGAAAAAACCCCAAACAAATCTAGTGAACAAAATTTTGAGAAAAATGAACCTTCAGCCTAAACAACTAGAGTGTTTCTATATATGTGGGAGGGTGGTGTATAGGGAAAGAGAGGAAGAGAGACACAGGGGGCAAGGAAGAGACACAAATACATTTTAATCTACCTTTAAATAATTATTAATTCAATCCTATGATTTTTATAACCTGACTTTTTCAATGTCAGGGCTGTATTTTGGTTACAGAGTCTTATGTTCAATCTTTTGTTTTGATTTGGTTTTCTTTTAGTATTTTTAAATTACATTAAAAATTGTATTAGAGAACTGAGCAGGGTGGCAAATCCCCAGGTTTTTCAGATACTCACTTCCTGTCCAGGGCACATAACATGGGACTCAGGTCTGGATGTACTGACCCAGATATTACAATACAGCTGTGTACATGCCCCACTTGGTGTGAATCAGCCTGCTATAAAGCCCCATTGTGAACTCCACTACTCCGTCCCCCACTGATGATCCACCTGGTCCATCTGGTGATCATTCTACAAGAGAATGGCTGTGAACCTGGGATCTACTAGGTTCTTAAGTGCTTATTACCAGGAAATAGTGAGATGGTAGCTTTAGTCTCCAAGATTAAATGTGTTTAGAAATGGTCCCTAGAGAACTGTTTCCTCAAGATATATGTTTTAGGCAGTGCTTCACAGCTGCATGGATTTTTTTGAGAGAAAGAAGACTTTTAAAATAGATTTGTTTACATTTCTTTTCAACTCAAATGCTATTCAAAAGATAAATTATAGCTTGAGTGTAGTTCCAGAATATAATTTTATTTTATTTTTATTTAAAGTATTTAGTTTGGTAGATAGGTAAATGGTTGTAACCTGAACCTGTTTCTCATTGATGAATGTGTCTGGAAGAATAAAGGAAGAAGAGAGAGCAAGAGGGATGGATATTAAAGTCAGCAATATATTTCAGTGTTTGTCTTGCTGTTCCATTAATGGCACCCATGAGAAGACCCATCTTACATTTCATAGCAGTTCTTTTCTCCCATTTCCTCTTCCCTCTTGAGCATCATTTACAGAAAAAGTATATTCCTAATATTTTCTATAGTCTTTGACTTGGCAATTTATTATTTGCCACAAACTATTTTTTTCTGGGGGGTGTTTCTGGAGTTTTATTTGTATGTTTACTGTCTGTGGGCTTGACGCACAAATAATATATTCATTGATAGTAGTGCGTTTTACAATGTAAATCTTGATTCCTTCTGCCAGTTCTCCTTTCAAATGACTTGGATTATTCAGGTAAAATAATAATTATCTTCCAACAATTAAAATAATCTGTACTATTTGTCACTGCTAACTGTTGGCTAACAGGATAAGGTCAAATGAGCATTTTTAGTTTGTTGCTGTCTTGGTAATTTGCAGCTAGTATTGCATCTCTGTGATTTTTCATCTCTTATGGTTCAAGAATTCTGACATTTGTAACTGCCTCCTATGTTACCCCCTACACTCATCTGTGCACTTCTTATGCTGAAGTGAATACAATAAGAATACAAATTGAACAACAACAAAACTGCTCAAGAACATTTGGTCTTTGGAGGAAAAGCACTTTTCACATAATCCTATTGGGGCTGAACGAGCAGGAAGGCTTTCCACTGGCATCAATAGCAGTTGGAGCAGATTCAAATGTGGTTTTAGTGGAATGGTGAGGGAAAAGTGCTCTGGTGATTCTTCCCCATAGTTTACAGTATCCACTCTTCCAAAGTGTGTTGCAGTATAATGGCTATGCAACCTCAACAGGGCTGATTCCAAGGATCTGTATATGTACCTGCATCATTATCGCTGGGTGAACTTGGAAAATCCCAAACCTACAAATCTCTTCCCAGTCTATTTCAGATACTTTACAGTTTTGTGGGTGTTTATACCAAAGTGGTGTGACGCCTTGTTAGCAATGAAGTAGCTATGTACTAAGAATTATAATCAGTCTGGAATCCAAATTGCACACGATGTTGTGTAATTCATATCTAATACTGTGGCCTAGGCTGGTATCATATGGCAGTTTGCTATTATGGAAATTATCTCAGACTGGTGATAATGTTAAATGTCTGCTCATATGTTCAGCTTATGTGGGAATTTCTTTGTTCCCAAAACCAAGAATGTGCAGAGAAGAGCAAACTGAGTCTGCTTAACACCTCTCACTAACAGTGAACATGGTGCTGTGTGGGTGACAGTCTGCGTAAGTCATTTGAAAAGAGGAGATTTAAGGTAGGTTTTAATAAATTCAGTTATCATGTTTCTAACTTGTTTTATGACTTTTTGCCCAGCTGCAATAGGTAGAACATAATCTG